AGACTATTTAGGTAAATAAGAAAAGTACTAAAAATTGTGGTGTAGTAATTAAAATTTATAGTGGTAATATAATTAACCTTTATGATTTTGGAGGAAGATGATGTTTTATGATTATTAGAATTTTAGTTAATCTACAAACTCTAAAAGAATATAAAAAAGTTCAAAAAATTTTATGAAATAAATATTAGTGGATGAATTTAGAACAATATATTTTAAAAATAATTTTATATATGCGTATTTAGAAAAATTTACATAAGACTAAAAGTAAAATATAATTATCTTTTTGATATATATTTATAATTTGAAGAGTATCGTTAATTGAGATAATTTGAAAATAGGGATATGAATTACATTTAAGATGGACATATCACTTAAAGACATAGATTGGTATTATAGCATTAATGGTCTTCCATAATTTTATTCTAAAAATATATGTCTCATTGAACTAGAAACTATCTAATTCAACATGTTAAATATAAATGTCATAATTTAAACGAACATGTTTTTTATTGGGAAGGTCGGCCTAATCCTCTACTAGAACTATTTTTCTTTAGTTATCAATAAATCGTACTACCTAATGCAATTGATTTATCAATTAAAAAAAACGAATAATGCTCTTTGCACAGAGTTATGTAGCAGGATTTTTTTATAGATATTGTCAACCTCTTTTTTCAAACTGTCAAATAAGATTTTGACACTTGTTTTTCTATTTTTAACTCCTGTCTAAAATTTTTTTATAAAAAAGAATCAATATGTTCACAATATTCAAACCAATATAGCCCCCACTGAATTTGAAGGGTTCCTATCCAAACCAACCATGTGGGGTACGCCCATTTCATCATGTGGGCCCGGAAGTGGTGTCCATTAGCCATAGTGGGCCCTACCTAAAGTGGGGCCAATTTACTTTAATGTTAGTCTAGAACAATTGATGAATAATGTAAAAATTTAGGGCCACCAAAACACCGGTGGTCCACCAACTATAGCTGGCCTCCACCACCACAAGCAACTCCCAAATCCCTCACCCACCCTGGTAGTACCTTCAAAGGTTGAATTGCAAAGTGGAAATTTGTTTAAGTCTAAACTGGATATATAGAAATTATTAAAATAAATAAATAAATAAGTGAATTATATAATAATCAACATATTTCATCGTCATATTCTATTATATGACACCAATCTTGATAGTTTATTTCGTCTAAACTTTACAGTCAATTATATTAGTATCAACGATTATGAAAGATTTTTTTGTTAATGCATCAAAAAATTTGAGGGATCTAATCTAGTTTACGAAATTCATAAAATTTATTATAAAAATAATTGAAAACAAAATCGAGTTTTTTTCAAATATAACAATTGTACGCGATTTAGTAATAATGGTAGTAGATATAGAGTACAATCCATTTTTAATACCATAGATAAAATGCTACAACCCAAGAGTTACTAATTAACCCAAGTAGGTTACAATTTTGTTGGAGGCGAAACAACAATAAATCACTTGTTGATGGGAAACCGTCTTGAGATTAATGGCACAATATGAAGTATAAGATCACAACGACAGAAACAAGATTTAAAGTAAAGAAGAAGAAGAGAAATTAATAGAGGAACCAATTTTTCATTAATAATAATGAGAGAATATAAAGAATTTAGCAATAATGTTTCAACTAAACTGAATGAAGGGGCTACGTATTTATAGGGATGTCCCAAACCTTAGAAATAATACAAGATATGGAAACTAGATCAAAAATGCGTAAAATGAGAAAAAGCGTGTGGCACTGTCACTCGAGTGAAAACTCGGTCATAGGCGAGTGAAAACCATTCTGCTTCAAATCTGTCCCTCTCGCTCGAGCCAAAGTCAGGTGACAAGCTAGTGATAGTGCAATGCCGTCAACTCCGATTTTTCTCTTCTTGAACCCCACTTTGACATGTCCAAGCCCATTACCAAAGCCTAAACCTAATTTTGGTCACAAATCTAATAATCTCTATCTTGACCCAAGTTTCGATGTCACGAATGAAGCTCCAAAATTTCTCCATTTGAAAAATATGTCCGATTGCATCAAAATAAACTGAACAATTCAAACAGTAACCAAAACTCTCCACCTTACGGAAACATCTTCCTCCACCCGGTATCCATAAATGATACCTGAACCCTAATTCTGGTTTCCCAAAATTCCAACGAGGAATTCAAAATTGACCAAACAAGATCGAAACACACCTTATTGCAGAATTCACACAAATGCTTGAACTGATAGACCCTTACTAGAATTGACATCTTCAAACACACCGAAAGCATTATCACTAACATCTGCAACACCGTACTTACGCTAAATGAGTCATACCCTAGCAATTGAACATGATGGAACCGCATAAACTGGTGGCAAAGCGGAATTACCCATTTTCCTTGAATTATCCCGAATAGTGTTCTAAACCGACTCAGAGCCAATCATAAAAGGTAGTGTACCATATTGTATGTCCACCACGGTACCAAACCTATCCAAATGTCTCTTAACTGAATCTGCGTGCCCCTGCAAGATGTACAACTGAGACTTCTTCCTTCCCTTTAGTACAACTCAGACACCTCTTCGGACTTTCAAGACTCCACCTCCACCTCCACCTCCACCTCCACCAAAAAACTTGTATCCCTTTGAATCCAAGGTAATCAGAGAGATGAGATTCTTCCTTTAAGTCTAGAACATGTCGAACCTGCCAAATGCTCTCAAAGTCTCATCTTGCAATCTCAATTTGACCTAAAAATCGATTCCAATTATCCTGCAAGACTGATTATTTCCCATGACAACTCCACATTGCTTCACCGTCTCATATGTTTCAAACCAAGCCCTATTGAGATACATATTAAATGAACACGCTGAATCCAAAATTCACTCCTCATCCGACTTAGATTCCATGTCAGATACGGTCAACACCACATCTCCGCCATCCGAAAAGTCCTCGACAATATTAGCCTCATCCAAATTATCTGATTGCCTCCCATGATTTGCGGTTAAATTACCCTCAGCCTGCAACTTGTCGCAATCATTCCTGATATGTCCTTTCCTCCTGTAGTAGAAACAAAACTGATTTTTGAAGTTCACCCTTGACTTATCTCTTTGTCGATCACACGAGATACAAGAACTTCCTCATCCCTAGATGTAGCTTCAATCAGATGCTTCATCTTCTCCTTTGAGAATAAAGCATCATAAACGTCGTCAATGGTGAGTATGTCACGACTATATAGAATCATGTCCCTAAACGACGAATATGAAGCGAGCAGCAAGTACAACAGGATCAAGGCTAGATCCTCTTCATCATACTTAACCTCCAACATTTCCAAATCGGCAACGATTTCCTTGAACATAGCCAGGTGGTCTTTCAAGGATCCTCCTTTTGCCATGCGATGGGAATACAGTCTATACTTTAGATGCAGTTTGCTCGTCAAATCTTTATCATGCACAACTGCTCCAGTTTCAAACACAAAGTAGCCATTGTTTTCTCCTTCAATACGTCCTGAAGAATGTTGTTGGAGAGGTAAAGCTTTATCTGCGAAAGAGCCTTCCTATCCTTCTGTTGCTTCTCCTCCGTTGGCATCTTATCAAAACCCAACAAAGCATTGTTCAAATTCATCTATGCCAAAATAGCTCTTATCTTTACTTGCTACAAAAAAAACCTTGTATTGCAATCCAACAACGGAATATCATACTACATGGCTGCCATCTCTAACAGAACTCAAACAATCCACACAACCAATAGTTCTGATACGACTTGTTGGAGGTAGAACAGTAATAAACCACTTGTTGATGGGAAAACTGCTCAAAGATTAATGCATAATATGAGGTATAAGATCAAAACAACAGAAACAAAAGTTAAAGTAAAGAAGAAGAGAAATTGACAGAGGAACCCATATTTTATTAATAACAATAATGAGAGAATACAAAGAACTTAGCAATAATGTTTCAATTAAGCTGAATGAAGTGGCTACATATGTATAGGGGATGTTCCAAACCTAGAAATAATACAAGATATGGAAACTAAGTCAAAAAGGCGTAAAACGAGAAAAATCGTGTGGCATTGTCGCTCGAGCGAAAACTTGGTGATAGGCGAGCGAAAACCATTCTGCACCAAATGTGCCTCTCTCGCTTGAGCCAAAGTCAGGCGACAATCTAGTGTGGCATCTTTAACTCCGATTTTTCTCTTCTTGAACCCTACTTTGACATGTCCAAACCCAATACGCGAAGTCAAAACATAACAAATTTCTGATCAGCAAAATGTTTTCTATGGTGGTTAAATTACTAACTATTTTTTTTCGCCCTTGTTTAATTCATTTATGATAATCAATTTTCTCCTTACTCATTTTCAATTACATATTTTTAAACAATTTTTTGTCATATTTTAAAATAATTTTTTATTATTTTTTAATTATACATTCACAAAAAAGTGCTTTTCAAAGAACCACTTATCAAATAATCAAAATTAAACAAGCACTTAAATACAATTAATCCAATCGTAATCCTCCATAAACACATGCAATTCCTCTATCGATTGGATACGAGCACCATTCAAAATTTGCAAGACTTAATATTGGTGTAATTATTTCTTTTAGTTCCATCACTCTCTCGAATGAACTATATAGTCAAGAAAAAAAAAATTGAAAATCAAAATCGATGATTAGTAAGTCATTGGAATTAGAATGCATATCTTGTTTAGTCCATATATGGAGAAAATAACTTTAAAAATGAATACTAAGATAGTTATTAAATCTCTGTTTAATTTCGTTAAAAATAAAATTTGATGAAATGAATTGTTGGAAAGTAATGAATCCTGTTAAATATATGATTAAAGATATAAAAAAAAAAAAGGATGTTCAAACACGAACTAAATCGTTAGTGTTCATGAAAACTCAAAAAATATTAATTTAAGTTTTAGTAAGGCAAAAAGAACCAAGTGACAAAAATAAATTGTAATTCTATTTTTATTATAGTAATAAATAAGCCTTTAATTTTGTTGTGGGTCTTATTACATCATAGAAAACTTCGAACCTTGCCTTCGCGTGGGCCCATGATGCATCTAGTGGGCTAACAACCGTTGGATTTCTTCTATCAAAACAAGATTTCTCCTCTGTTTGTTTATTGAAAATAAAATCTATTTATAAAGCTTCCAAGGTTCATTCCTCTAGCCAGCATTGCTTCCTCCCCAACAAATATCTTTTATCCTAATCCTGTAATACACTACCGCCACCAGCGCCGCCGTGCACGGAGGCTCAGCTACTTTGCATGTCGACACCAACTTCAATCCCATTAATAACTCTCAGGGAAGAAGATCATGACATGGAGGAGAAACCAACCTTTCCACCTATTGGACTTGCACCGAAGCCTCCACAAACTGTACAACCACCGGCTCCTGCGGTGGAGCTGCCTCCGAGGAGATCATCTACTAAGGACCGCCACACAAAAGTCGAGGGGCGAGGGCGGAGAATCCGAATGTCAGCCACCTGTGCCGCCAGAGTCTTCCAGTTAACCCGAGAACTCGGTCACAAGTCCGATGGCGAAACCATTAGGTGGCTCTTAGAACAAGCTGAACCCTCCATCATCGCCGCAACCGGCACCGGTACCATCCCCGCCATTGCCATGTCAGTCAACGGTGCCTTAAAAATCCCCACTACCTCCTCCACCGCCGCCACGGTTGCCAAGGACGATGGTGGCCAGACAGACCGGAAACGCAAACGCCCCACTAACAGCGAATTTGTGGATGTAAAGACTCTCAGCAACAAAATTTCTGACACTAATAATAGTCTCACAACGGCAAATCCTGCAATTATTTCAACGAACTCTACAATATCTGCTCCACTACTGTCGACGGTACCAACTCCGGCCCACGCACTGGTGCCGATGATCACTATGTGGGCTATTCCGGCGGCACCACCAAATGCAAATGCAAATGCATCACCAACTTTTCTTATTATTCCACAGGCAGCACAAAATGGGCATCCATTAGTGAATATTTCCGCGGCTGCAGGGCCTATATCTACAGTTTTCGCCGCCGTGCAACCTGGTGGCGCTAGCATAGCACGGCCACCTCCGGCCACCGAAGTCAATCTTCAGAGTTTGCCGAGTTCAAGTCCTGCAGGTTGCACTACTGTGATTGAGAAATCACAACAAAGACTCAGATGCTGAGGGACTTCATATGTGGCTTTTTCTTGTTTTTGTTACTTTAGAAAGTAAATCCAATTGAATCATGCTTTGGATTTCTTGTAGATTATTTAAGTACTTAAATCAGATCATTTGATTTAATCTTTACAGTATCCCATCAGACAGTAGGGCCCGAAGTCAATCTTCAGAGTTTGCCGAGTTCAAGTCCTGCAGGTTGCACTACTGTGATTGAGAAATCACAACAAAGACTCAGATGCTGAGGGACTTCATATGTGGCTTTTTCTTGTTTTTGTTACTTCAGAAAGTAAATCCAATTGAATCATGCTTTGGATTTCTTGTAGATTATTTAAGTACTTAAATCAGATCATTTGATTTAATCTTTACAGTATCCCATCAGACAGTAGGGCCTTTGATTTTGATTTTGATTTTTGAGGCCCGGTGGCAACGGTGGAGTAGGGGGACACATTTATTTATTAAAATTTTTAACTATTTTATTCAAATGATTAATAGTCTTTTTGAGAATAATTGTTATTGACGAATGTATTTTAAAATAGTAGTTCGATAGAGAATGCGAGACTAAAAAAGAACAAATTTTGAATTTACATTTAATATTATTTTATTAAAAATTGTATAGTTAAAAAAAGAAAAAAAATTATATTTTGAAAATAACAATAATCAAACAAGGGCTAAATAGGTAAACGAGTTATAAAATTTTGAATTTTGTTGGTTTGTCCGAGTTATTTTGCCCGAATAGTTGACATTCTCTCCCGTACACGTGGATCCCGCGTGAATAAAAAAGTTCAAATAAAGTGGGTCTACCATTGTGAGAGTCGGTCAATCATTTTCGATCACTGTACGGGATTGTAAAATTTTTGTTGAATTTATAACGCAATTGAGGATACATTTCAAGCATGGGTGGTAGGATAGAGTTTACAAGTGTGGCTTGTGTTGAAGTTTTCTTGATAAATTTTTTTTGCGTAGTCATGATTTTACATGTCAAATGCTGAACAAAACTCGAGCAGGTGCAATCCAATGCCTATTTCTCGTCGGGATGTTAATTTTTAATTGTTCCACGTAAAAATATACATATTTCTATACATTTTGATAGACTTAAGCGAAAATATTTGAAAGTTCGCAATATCCACACTTTTACATAGCGCGAATGGTAGAATCCGCCTATTTTAACACCACTAAACTAGTCTTTTGTTTGAGATAATTTTTTTTCGAAACTTATTTTCAATCATACGTTCTTCAATAAAAAAATTTATATGTGAATTCAAAATTTTTTCTTACTTTTTTAATCACGCATTCTTCAAACATGAGCTAGAACTCGCTGTTACAACTTACAATTCTACATTGGATTAAATCACTATTTGGTTCTCATTTTTCTCGATCTCGCTTTTAGTTACACGTTCTTCAAATAAATTGTTTTATATGTAAATTCAAAACTTTTTCCTATTTTTCATGTTTACAGTCTCCAACAATTTACTATTACAACTCATTTTTATCAAATAATGTCCATCAAACATGGCCTAAATGTAAAATAGTAGTTCGATAGAGAATGCGAGACTAAAAAAGAACAAATTTTGAATTTACATTTAATATTATTTTATTAAAAATTGTGTAGTTAAAAAAAGAAAAAAAATTATATTTTGAAAATAACAATAATCAAACAAGGGCTAAATAGGTAAACGAGTTATAAAATTTTGAATTTTGTTGGTTTGCCCGATTTTTTTTGCCTGAATGGTTGACATTCTCTCACATACCCGTGAGTTCCGCGTGAATAAAAAAGTTCAAATAAAAGTGGGTCTACCAGTGTGAGAGTCGGTCAATCATTTTCGATCAATGTAGCGGGATTGTAAAATTTTTGTTGAAGTTATAACGCAATTGAGGATACATTTCAAGCATGGGTGGTAGGATAGAGTTTACAAGTGTGGCTTGTGTTGAAGTTTTCTTGATAATTTTTTTTTGCGTAGTCATGATTTTACATATCAAATGCTGAACAAAACTCGAGCAGGTGCAATCCAATGCATATTTCTTGTCAGGATGTTAATTTTTAATTGTTCCACGTAAAAATGTACATATTTCTATAAATTTTGATAAACTTATGCGAAAATATTTGAAAGTTCGCAATATCCACACTTTTACATAGCGCGAATGGTAGAATCCGCCTATTTTAACACCGCTGAACTAGTCTAGTTAATTTTTTTTTGAAACTTATTTTCAATCACACGTTCTTCAATAAAAAAATTTATATGTGAATTCAAAATTTTTTCTTACTTTTTTAATCACGCATTCTTCAAACATGAGCTAGAACTCGCTGTTACAACTTACAATTCTACATTGGATTAAGTCACTATTTGGTTCTCATTTTTCTCGACCTCACTTTCAGTTACGCGTTCTTCAAATAAATTGTTTTACATGTAAATTCGAAACTTTCTCTTATTTTTCGAGTATACAGTCTCCAACAATTCACTATTACAACTCATTTTATCAAATAATGTCCATCAAACATGGCCTAAATTTTACCAATTTACACTTGTGGTCCAAGTGAGGGAGAGCATCTCATAGCGGTGGAAAGATGTGCACGTGTGAGGTTGGGGGAGAAGTATGTTGAGGGGGGCCCACGTTTAGTGATTTTAAATAAATAGTGGGGCCCACACTAATGGTCAATAGCTAAGATGGGCGGCACCGCTCCCGAGGGGTAGTGGACCCATCTACTACGGTGGCGGAGTGGTGGCCCCGGACATAGCTTGCCGCCGGGCCAACCCTAGTGAGAGAAAGCTAAATGGTGGGCTCCAAAAGACGTGGCCATTAATGGGCTGACACTTTATAGTGGGGCCCCTTTTACGGTTTGACACTTTGACTCGAGTGGATAGCCTTAGGGTGGTCCAATTCTGTTTCAAATTTTGTTCCAATAGGGCAGATATCGAATATTCGATCTTTTTTTTTTTTTTTTTTTCCTTCTTACATTTTTTTTTAAAAATCTATGAATTATTTAAATCCTGCGACTTTCTAATTTGTTTAACTGTTCAATTATGCGAATATCTCTCAAGATATTTTGTGATTCTAGTTCAATTATAAACTTACTAAATTATACTAACGCGTTGGGTACGATTAATACACAATTTGAACATTATTAAATAAGAAAAAAAATGTTATATTTTACTATTTAATTCATATTCATCGTGGATTAAAATCTTGATAAAATTTAAGTCGAAATCAAAATTATTTTTAACCATACATTATATGAGATTTACAACTTTTTAACCACAAATTTTTGAAGTCACGATGAATTCATCCTGTGTAGATTGGTCGAAGAACCTTGATAATGTCTAATGGGCTTATTGTATGGCTTTGAAAACATCTTTTAGTGCTTTTATATATCGATTGGTGTTTAGGAAAGCACATCATTTTTTAGATGAGTTAAAACACAAAGTATATTGGGTAGTCCACACATTTTAAACTTTCGTATGACCGGTAAAAAGAGAATTCTTTAACTCAACAAAATTGCTAAATTATGTTTGGGAGGTTGTGAGAATGCAAAGCTTTACAGGGACAAGAAAAACAAATGGTACTACTCGCACATTAAAACGAAGGATTTTGAAATTAGTGAGTAGGTGTTGCTGTACGATTCGCCTCTCAAACTATCTTTGAAAAACTTGGGGTCAAGGTGGTCAATCTTTCAGGGTTATAGTAGGGTTTTATGAGAATACAAAACTTTACAAGGACAAGGAAAAAAATGACATTACTAGCACGTTAAAACAAAGGATTTTGAAATTGGTGAGCAAGTGTTGCTGTCCAATTCTCATCTCAAACTATTTTCGACAAAGTTGAGGTCGAAAATATGGTAAAACGTGATTTTTTTGGTGTTATGCGTTCATCTTAGTGAAATGTGACACGTTGCATGTCTATTGACCCTTAAAATTTATTTGGCACGAATTTCGAGATATGCTTAAGCATTTTCTGATAGTGAATTTTTTACACCATTTTGTCACGTGTTCGATGAAATGCCAGAATGAGTATGCTTAACATATTTTGACACCATTTTCTCCTGTCATGAACTACACACACTACTCTCCATGCCTGTAAGTTTTTTTTTTCAATTTAGTATCAAATCACAACGTGATTTTTTTGGTGTTATGCGTTCATCTTAGTGAAATGTGACACGTTGCATGTCTATTGACCCTTAAAATTTATTTGGCAAGAATTTCGAGATATGCTTAAGCATTTTCTGATAGTGAATTTTTTACACCATTTTGTCACGTGTTCGATGAAATGCCAGAATGAGTATGCTTATCATATTTTGACACCATTTTCTCCTGTCATGAACTACACACACTACTCTCCATGCCTTTTTTTTTTTCAATTTAGTATCAAATCATACACCTTTATCACGAGCACACTACATGCCTACGTCTTTGCCTTTGTTCCATATTTGAGTCCCCTTCCGTCCATACGTTTTCAAGAAAAAATGCCAACAGTTCCTCTCCCAAGGTACGGATTCGAGTTGACGACGGTGGCATACATAATACATTGCTTCTTTTTTCCCATAGCATCATACCCGATTTAGTAAAGTGGTATCATGATGGAAATTGTTACCTAATTGATGGGTGGTTTTGACAGGCTTTCCAAAATTAGAGATCACTAATTTAGTTTGAATTGTCGGTCTAGAAAAAGTTGCCGAGGCTTTAATTTGATTTAACCACGTCTGAGAGTTCCTTACAAACTTTTATTAAGAGTTAGACACGCTTGGATCAGATCATTATCATTAGACATGGGTTATTGACTGATAGCAAGTTTAGGCCAAAGGTGATCGATAGTACGATGATTTGACTCGAGATCACATCACTTTTATCCCAACAAACTAAGCATGGTATGGAAAGCACATGGTCACTTTCCATAAGGAGTTCGAGCACAATTACTTTGACGACGTCTTTTGTGATTTTCTCCAAGTTTATTAGCTATAACTTCGATCATAGGACAAATATCAATGATAGTCAGGTCTGTTTATCACACATTCGAGTCTGTTTATCACACCACTTAGTGCAAGGGAACAAGATAGACCTCGAAAGCTAGATTTATACTTAATGTTGTCACCATTGGCTTACCTCCTGAAGAGTACTTCCCCAGGACTCGTATATGCTTGCTCATTACATATAAGTTACGGAGTCTTCGATTGTGAGACTGTCATTGGGAAAGTACCCGAGGAGCAGTAGCAAGCCTCACATGAGATTTAGACGGCGGAGTCCTTGGGATAAGTCCTTGGGAATGTCTTTTTGACACCTAGGGACACACGAGTCCTCAAGCACTTCCATTGCTTAATATTGAACACTTTCTTGCCAAACCTAAAAGGAGTCCTACGCTCTAAGGACTTTAATTT